TCCTGGAGACTTAAATTCATTTAGGTTAACCAGGTATTCCTATACCTTCTCTTTACTTACTTTGTGCTGCATTTCCTCTTTTGTGTCCTCTGCTCCATTTTCCTCGGGTTGAGCACCCTTTTCCTTTTGTGAGAAGACTGAGGCAAAGAAGGTGTTGAGTAATTCTGCCTTTTCTCTATCCCCTGTTAGAATTTCTCCATCTTCTCTGCCCAGTGGCCCTACCATTTCCTTCTTCTTTCTTTTGCTATGGACATACCCAAAGAAGTCCTTTTTTATTGTGCTTAAGCATTCTAGCAAGCCTGAGCTCTTTCTGTGCTTTGGTTTTCCTAACTTTACCCCCACATGTGCTAGCTATTTGTTTGAATTCCTCTTTAGTGATTTCACCCTTTTTCCATTTCTTATACATCTCCCGTTTAAAACTTAGTTCACTTGAAAGTTCTTTTGCCATCAAACTCGGTTTCTTGAAACATCCTCTATTTTTCCTTCTCATTGGAACAGTTTGAGATTGTGCCTTCAGTATCTCCCTTTTGAGAAACTCCCATCCATCCTGAACTCCCTTCTCCTTTAGTATTCCTGACCACAGGATCACTCCCAGTGTTTCCCTACGTTTGTTGAAATCAGCTCTCCTAAAGTCTAGAATGAGTGTTTGACTATGTCTAGACTACTTGAAGAAGTAGACTCAAGTCTATGAAAGCTCATACTAACAACTTCTCTCTTTCAGTTAGTCTCAAACATACTACATGATCCCTGAGTAATTATAGTTTGCCTACAAATCAGGCAAGCAAACAATATTTTAATCTCTGCTAGAAATGAGCTATGGTTTATGCAAACCATAGGACTGGACACACTCTTAGGCATCTTTAGTGTGACCCATTGAAATAATCATGAATTGAATTAATCATGACAAACACAAACCTCATTTATTTCTATACAATTACTTTAAGCATGGCTGAGTCTTTCCTACTATATAATTATGGCACTATGCTTCTGCTTTAGCTGCCATGATTTAACTGTCATTGGCTGCAAACTGATCTCCCATCATGCACAAAGGATGGGGGAAGGATAGAAGAAATAAAACCATGGCTTACTATTATCTCTGATGGCTCTCATAAGTATCCCTGGTTGTTATGAAACCCCAAGATACTTATTCTATAATTGTGACTAAGCTGTAACCAAATGAATGGGAAGATTTCCTTTGAAATCAGTGTGGGTTGGTGTATATTCATGGTTTCACTGGAAAGATTCACTCACAATGTAATGCTTTGCTTGTTTTGAA